CCGGAGATCGGCTGAATGGATTCGAAAACGGTAAAACTCAACTGTTTAACTCTAGGGGAGCTGGAAAATGAGCCTTCTTTCAAAATAGTGGAGTGTTCCTTTAAAAGAAATATCTGTATCACATTTCACACCAAAAATCAAAAGGAATAAAGCAGCACAAGTTCTCATTTCTTAAAATGATTACAAAAAATAATGAATGATTAAATGAATAAATAAATAAATACAAAACAACAACAATAATACATTAATTAAATCATCCTGTTAGGGCACCATTTATTTATTCATTTTTTAAAACATATCCTTAAAAATGTAATTCACAATTTAAATTGTGAATAACATTTGTCAAACGACAATATCTAAATTGTTGAGTAAATATAGGTGAATCTTATAATATCCAGATCACCTATCTCCCCAAAAATCTAAAGAAATAAAGCAGCATGTTCCTCTAAAACTCTTATTTCCTTAATGTAAAAAAAATAAATAAATTATATAAAAAAATACAAAAAATGAAGTACAGTAATTAAATGATCCTACTACTGATAATTAGGAAAGGGGGATGTTAAGTGTGCTTGATTCATTCAAGATTCATTGATTGATTCAATTCGAGCAGCTGAGTCTTTAGCCATTTTCAAAAAACATCTAAAGACACATCTTTTTCGTCAGCACCTGACCAATTAATACTAGCACTTACCTATTCTATTTAATAAAATAAAAATAAAAAAACACCTTGCTATGTGTACTGTGCTAGATTAACTGAGACTTGTATACTGTTGCTCTCTTGTTGGTCTGATTGCTTCTATTGTTCTCCTCATTTGTAAGTCGCTTTGGATAAAAGCATCTGCTAAATGATTAAATGTAAATGCTAAAGAAAAAAAACTCACCATGCAAATCATCTCAATGGCCCTAAATTAGGTTCATTTTCTTGAAGTAAAATGTATTTTTCTTTTGATTTTGGTGTGAAGATATTTTGATTTGTTTCGTCAGTTTTTGAGAGATTCACTTATCATTCGACATTCATCACTGATTCTTTTAGATTCATTTACAGCACAGAATCAGAAGTGAAGGGTTGTACTTTGAGGAGCAGATCTCCCCAGCTGTTCCTCTGGAAAGAGGAGACGGTGAGGTGCAGCGAGTGAGCGTCAGGCAGACAGTCGCCCTGATGAATGAAGCCACGGGGAAAATACAGCAGATCGCCAGCTTCCAGCACCACGTCCATGATGGGCTGCCCGATCTCGTCCTGACTGAAATTAGCTTTAGGAGAAATGCATCAGAGAGAGAGTTTATCCCCTTTATAATTAAAGAAACACTCGTTAATATGACCAGCTATGTACATAAAGACTGTACTTACGACTGGACACCAGTGGCAACACTTCATCTTCAGATCTGAGGGACGACAGAGGCGCTACTAGTTAATACTCAAGATTTGTTTTTTTTATTTATGGACATGACTAGAGGACTAGGTCACAAAAAAATTACAATTTGCAATTTACTCACCCTCAGGCCATCCGTACTAGTTAATACTCAAGATTTGTTTTATTTATTTATGGACATGACAGCTGAAGTTTAGAGGACTAGTTCACTAAAAAATTACAATTTGCAATTTACTCACCCTCAGGCCATCCGAGATGTAGAAGAGTTTGTTTCTTCATGGGAACAGATTTGGAGAAATGTAGCATCACATCACTTGCTCACCAATGGATGCTCTGCAGTGAATGGGTGCCGTCAGAATGAGAGTCCAAACAGCTGATAAAAACATCACAATAATCCACAAGTAATCCACTCCTGACCATCAGTTAATGTCTTGTGAAGTGGAGTGGTGTGGATTATTGTGATGTTTTTATCAGCTGTTTGGACTCTCATTCTGATGGCACCCATTCACTGCAGAGGATCCACTGCTGAGCATGTGACGCGATGCCACATTTCTCCAAATCTGATTAAGAGACAAACTCATCTACATCTTGAATAGCCTGAGGGTGAAAAAATTCAGCAAATTTTCATTTTTGGATGAACTATTCTTTTAAAGCGTAACTGATCACTCACTGAGGGTTGTACACTCTCCAATGCTATTTGCCCTCCAACTGCAAAATGAATGCCTCTATATCGTCATAGTGAGGAGCAAAACCCTGCGTCCTCGCTGGTGTCAGATATCTGAAGAACATATTACAGTTAAACGATAACCGACAGAGATTTTAGCAAATGAATGTAATAAATAATAGTGTTTATGAATCATTGTCACATACACATTTGCACCCGCCATACTGCCAAACTTCTCCTGAAGAATAGAGAGCACTTGCCACACAGTGGAGGAATACGCTTGAGGATTGAGCATTCGGAGAGAACAGCCGCTCTGACAACAGATGAAAAACAACATCTGTGAATAAACTTCACACTTTAACAGTAAAGTAAACATTGAGGCTTTACAGAAGTGCTATTTCTATTGTAATGACAGTTCTCCCAATTTTAAGGATGTTCGCACGACGGCATATCATGACCTTTATGCTATTGTATCATATAGTTTGATGTTGAAAGGATTTTCAAATGTTTTAGAATGACGTCTCTTCTGCTCACTGAGGCTGCATTTATTTGATCAAAAATACAGTAAAAACAGTAATATTGTGAAATATTATTACAATTTAAAATAGCTGTTTTCTATGTGAATATATATTCAAATGTAATTTATTTTTATGAAGCAAAGCTGAATTTTCAGCATCATTACTCCAGTCTTCAGTGTCACATTATCCTTCAGAAATCATTCTAATATGCTGATTTGCTGCTCAAGAAACATTTCGGATTATTATCAATGTTGAAAACAGTTGTGCTGCTTCATATTTTGGTGAAAACTGTGATACATTTATTTTTTTAAGATTCTTTGATGAATAGAAAGTTCAAAAGAACAACATCCGTTTTGATTAGAATATTTTTGTAACAATGTGCAAAGTCAAAAAACCTTTGAACGACATATACACAATCTTTTATAGAAGATGTGGTGACCAAAGCCAAAAATATATACCAGTAATAATCATACAATCTCTCAATTTCGTGTGTTAGGGAAATGTACCTCATAAAAATCCCACAGCGTGTACGGTAGCACTCTTCCTGGAGGATTGTGTGTCTCTCTTTTTCCGTTTGTGTAGCTCGTCACATCCAGGTTCACTCCATACTGAACATCATTCTGAACAAAACACAGATCATTATATCCGACAGTGACATTAGAGATACTGATTCTTTCTAAATCAAAGAGAAAAACGGCTTACATTTCTTAAGATGCGGTCAAACTCAGCCGTCGAAAAGAGTCCTTTGTAATAGTCTGGATTCTGTCGTTGGATAAGAATCGGTTTCTTCTCCCAATTCTCTCTGTAATGTGGAAAGAACAAGACCTGTCAATCATCTCTGATCCAAAGCGACTTCTAGTACACGTTGTGGATGAATTATTATTAAGTCACTTTAATTCCGGCTGTAAAGCAGCTCTACAGAGGACAATATATTACCAATATTCAGCTCAATGTAGTTCAATGCTGATTCAATTCTATGCAAGCCCTTTTCCACCATAGAATGACAAAATTAAAAAAGATAATTGTGACTTTTTATCTCACAATTTTGACTTTTTTCCTCCGAATTGCATGATATAAACACAGAAACTGCAAGATATTAACTTGAAATTCAGAAAAAAAGTCTGAATTGCGAGATATGAACTCAGAATTCTGACTTTTCACCTCACAATTCAGACTTTTCTTCTCAGAACTTTCAGTTTATATCTGAGAAGAAAAGTCAGAAGTCAGAATTAAGTCAGATATAAACAAGCAATTGTGAGATAAAAAGTTGCATTTACCTTTTTTATTTTTTATCCAGTGGTGAAAACAAGCTTCTACACAATTTAGTTCAATAACGGTGTCAATGTTACAAAATTAATCAATTAAAGGGGTCATATGATTCTATTTTAAAGATAATTATTTGGTGTATTTGGTGTAACAAAATATGTTGACATGCTTTAATGTTCAAAAAACACAATATTTTTCAAATACTGTACATTATTGTAGGTCCTCTATGCCCCGCCTCTCTCAAACGCTTCGTTTTCTACAAAGTCCCTCCTTCCGACAAGCGCAGTCTGCTCTGATTGGCCAGCTGACCCAGTGCATTGTGATTGGCCGAACACCACAAGCACGCGTCGGAAATGTAACGCCCCTTACCATAAACTTGGATTTCATTAACTAGCTGCGTAACAAGAACATGACCAATTAAACTATCAATTTAAACAAAAATTTACCGTCAACTACAGACGTTGCATCCATCGATTCCGCCATGTTTCTCATAGACACACCCCCAGCTCGGAAACTCGGGGCTTAAAGAAAATTTCGAGTTTCCCACTCGTAATAACGACTTTGTGGTGGCGTTCATGTGCGTTCAACTCGCAAATACGATCTATCCGACATGACTTGAACGCACCATTAGACACTTACGGCCTTAGATTTCTCCTCATCACTGCTGCTGAGCCTCATACTGGACTTTAGAGGCTTCATCCTTTTCTTTTTATTGGATTTCTTGTTTGGTTGGATGCCATTCTCCTTCTTTTTGATTTTCTTCGCTGGCGCAGCATTTGCCTGAAAGGCAGAAATCATGCAATTACAGCCCTTACAAAAAATGGTGGTAATACCATGGTATTTTTTCTGCAGGGGTCTTTTATTTAGACCCCCAAATGTCATCACCCTGGTGCGAGGGCCCACAAGCTTAAGGGCAGCAATATATTTTCATGAATAAAGACCACATTTATACAGTGAAAAACTAATATACACTATTAGTTAATAAAGATTTATTTTTTATTATGTTAATTACTGTATTTTTTTCTACTCAATACAGTTGTACTGTTAGGTTTATTACAATCAATTATTTATTTTTTTTACACTGTTTGTCTAACCTTTTTCACACACCCCAGTTTGAAAACCCCTGCTAATATTGAGTAAGAATTTTTGAGTGACAGAGTATACCAGTTTTTTTTTTTAATGATTATTATATTTTTATACAGTTTTATTTAAATGGTAGCTAAAGAATGCTGTTTTGTTAGCGAGAGAACAGAGCAGTTTTGTACAATGTATATACAGTATATTCTATATTCAGTGTGTATTCCTTATATTAGAATCCAGTAATTAACAACTTTGAAATGATGGTTATGTTCCCTCGTAAAAAGTTTTTTTTTTTCATGAAATCCCTCATAAGCAACAGTTTTACCTGCACTTGTGGTTTTGTTCCTCCTGATAATGACTGATAAATAGATAATGCGGACATGTGTTTTCTTTCCATGGCTCAGATGTGAGGAGCAGCAGACACATGAGCGCTTTTCCTCTGCTGGAGTCAATACTGACAACCAGCGCTCACACTGCCACCTACAGGTCTGGAGCTGCACATACATGTTTCAAACAAATTCTTCTCATTAGATCCGCCCGTTTTTAATATATCAAACACGCAAATACACGATTATCAGTAAATTAATCATTATAAATTCATTTTATGCTGATATGTTACCAAAAACATTTGTAAACGTACTCTCGCGCTCTCCGCTCTGAGCGCTAGATGGCAGCACGCGCTCAACGCCGCTCGCTGTCCGTCTGCTGGAGCGCGTACGCGTTTTGCTGCACCTCAGAGACGGAGCGTTTTCGGCAGCCGTTTACCGGGCCGTTTTTGTCCGTTACCGACGCCATGGACACGCCGAGGAACTGAAGTGCTTGAGGACCGACGTCCTTTCTGATGGATTTATTCTGAGGTAACTTACTGTAAAATAACGGTTGTGTCGTTCGAAAGCGGGTCGGTTAGCAGCGGCTAACATCAAACAGACAGATGCAGAAAAACATAAATAACACTCATATTGGTAGTATTTTAGTTGTGATATTGCTCTAAGATGAACACTATCGCTCTTTAGCCGCAATATGTTTGATTTTTAGATCTCGTATGTGTCTAAAGTACTGCAGGGAATCAGTGTAACGTTAAGTTGGTCATTTAAACGACGCGTTGAACAAATCAGACAGACTCACCTAAACAAACGATATCAGACACACACTCATCTCATATATTAAGAACATTTAATCACCAATATCAGACACATTCTGATCTTGACATTAATTTCTAACATCTGCTCTGCTCAATAATATTGGTCACACTCCAATCTGGTTAATAGTGTATAACATCTGATCAATAATATCAGAATCACACTGATCTGATTTATAAATATATATAATATGCTATCTGATATCTATCAATATCAGACACTGTTGTTATTTCTAACTTCTGCTCCGATCAGTAATATTGGTCACACTCTAATCTGCTCATAACGTTTGATATTATTAGACAGACACTGATGTGATTTATTATTCATATGTAACATTTCATCTGATTAGCAATAGCAGGCACTCTTTAATCTAGTAATTAATTTATAACGCCTAGTCGATCAGCAATATCAGATACAGTCTAATTTTGAAATAATAATGATCAATAATATCAGACGGTGAACTGATATATTGTAATATATAGACGCACGAGGATGTAATGACTCGCATAACCTGATGTGAGTTTTTTTTCTTATCATTTAGAATATCTGATAGTGATTTTGTTGATGTTGAATATTAAATGCATGCTGCTGCTATGATCTGATCTCACTTGACAGACTCAGAATATCAGACTTGTTCTTAATCAAAGTTTGACTCAGAGATCAAACCCTCACAATAAGCTTTGTATGTTATGAAGCTCAGATTCAGAATTTCAACATAAGATATTTTCAGTCTGACACGTAAGATCACTTCATTTCTGATATTGTTGATAAGAACATATTGTGAGTGTCCGACTCTTATATTCTCTTCACATATTCTGAACATAAGACATTATAAATATATGTGAATGATCGTTTTATCAGATCACCATGGTAACATTGATTAGATCCAATCAGTAGATCTACATCTGGTATTCAGAGTCTGTCCAGCCGGTCATCTGTGTGATGAATTTGGAGGAACAGATGTGTTAGTCTCTGATGAGTTGTGTTGAGGTGGTCAGTGATTGTTTAGCATGCAGACCAGTTCTGTGTTTGTGTAAATGAGTTGTTTTCCTCCTAACCCATCTGTGATGGTTATAACCCATTGCACGCTTTATTTGTGAAGGAAAATAAAGATATTTTGTCTCTCTGCCTTGATAATGGGTGACCATCTGTGCGATGCACTGCCAGTTCAGGCGTGACTAAAACAAATACTAAATCACCAAACCATTTTTAGTCTTACAGCTCTCATTACAGGCGTCATCTGCTTTAGATGTGTGGAGTCTTTCATTTTGCATTTATTTGTAATTTTGTATACTAAAGAAAGGTTTCTGCCGATCTTAAAATCTTAATTTGCCCTTCCAGAAATGAAGGCCTTAAAAAGGTCAGAGTAGCACGTCTTAAAGTCATGGCATTGTGGAATATCTTTCTCAGTATTTTTGTCTTGTTTTCCAATACAAATATCTAAATTTCCTTAAATCAAGATACAATTACTTGAGTTGCAAAATGAAGATATTAAGTCACAAAATTAAGTGAGTTTATGCTTAAAACAAGAACAATAGCTGTCAGTGAGGTATGAAAATGTGTTTTCAATTTGAATTAAGTTGATTTTTCTGAGCCCATTAGCAGAAAAAAACAAATAAATTTCTTATCTTAGGTAATTTTGCTTTTCAAGGAAATGCATCTGGATATAAGAATCTTTAGACATTTGCAGTGGAAAAAGAAATTTTTTGCAGTGTTATCAAAAGGTACAGTAAAAGTTATTTCCATAATCTAGTGTTTGGGTGCAGATTTTTGGGAAATTAATTTAAAAGTATTAAAAAAGTATTAGTGTTGCTAATACAACTTGTGTGCAAAGTGTGTGCTTCTAGACATTTACATTTAGAGAACATATAGACGTATTGTTTCCCCTTCAATTTATTCCCTATATCTTCTTTACTTTGTCTTAAAGTGGTCTTTAAGGAATTGTTCACCCAAAAATGAAAATGTACTGAAAATTTCTTCACCCTCAGGCCATCCAAGATGTAGATGAGTTTGTTTCTTCATCTGAACAGATTTGGAGAAATGTAGCATTCCGTCACTTGTGGTGCGACTGCGACCTGTCTTCATTTCTCTGCAAAACATTTGCGAATTACTACACAGTGTGTGTCTGCTGTGAGCCGATACAGTGACCGCTCCACCAGTTTATCCAACGTTACATAGGCTAGTCAATTAAGCTTCATCATTACATTCTTAACTTTAATGCATATTTTAGAACGTATTATTAATTATATTAGCCGTCAATCACTCCCTTTCGCTGCACTCCGTTGTCACGTGACAGGGAGCTAACTCGGAACTGACCGGTTTTTGTTGTATTTCAGCCGATCTCTGTTCTGGACTTGCACAAACTGTATTGAAATCATTTTCCAAAATGTCATTTGTGTGGAAATATTATGAAGTCTGTAAACAGCCGTTAACAGAGGTCAGAGACGCTGAAGACGGACGCAAAGAAAAGAAAATACTGTAGCAGGCGCACTGATCACTGTGTGCGAAATATAGAAAGAAAATCCTAAATACTGAATTGGTAGTGGGGGGTTAAATTAATGTATTTCTGAGGGTAACTGATTGTCTTGAGAAGTTGAATTGACATTTTCTTCTCATCTTGCCTCTGTATATTGCATATAAAGAACAAAGCAGTGCAGCACTGTTGTTTACAGTGGTAACCAAGGAAACGCTGTATCTGCTGTTCCATCAACGCCACCTGCTGTCAGAGAGTGAATCTGCGTCTCGTTCAGACCGTCTGCTGTTTTTGTTTTGTGCAGATGTTTTATGTAGCATCATTTCACGAAGTTAAAGTCAGGCCTGTTTTTGATTCAGATTTTGAAATAATACATTCTAATTTGCATCTGAAACTGCTCATGTATGCAGCATCTTTGTTTGGATCATGATTAAAATGCTGTGGTTGTCTCTAATTTTAAATGGCTACAGATACAGTCTGTAATAGACCAAATAAACGTCTTGTTCATTTTCTTTTTTATTGTCTCTCGCTTTAAAAAAATAAAAAATAAAAATGTAAAAAATCTGCTATCAGAATCAGCTTACTCGCTTCTAAAACATTAGCAATCGGAATAAAGATCGATGCATCACTAATAGGGATGTAAGATTAACCGCGAGCCGGTTGAAAATCTATTAAAATATGTGACGATTCAAATCGGTTGAGATGCTAAACAAATCGCGATTCAATTAGGGGTAGGAGTTTATATGAATGCATGTCTGAGGGGAGCTTACTGTCAGTGTGTGGCTAAGAATTCAGGATCAGGTTCAATTGTTTAAGCTTTTAATCATCAGGATGTTGCCAGCCCTTCCGCTCAATTGGCAGTTGAAATACACTAGGCTAATTCTTAATCAGTCTGGATATTATGCAAACTGGTTTGCAACTATTCCAGTTACCTAACATAACCTTGGAAAGAAGTGAGATACAAACCAGGTGATGCTCCTTAATATTCAGTGGGTGCGCCTACATTTTTGTTGGTGCTCCTAACTTCCTGAAGTTGGGAGCACCAGTTCTACCAAGTAAAAAAGTTAATTTTGACCCCTGCATAATATTACTTTCTCCAGTGGAAAAGTTGTCTTGTCTGAATCAGGAGCGAAATATGCACAAATCAAGCACTGTTTACAAGCTAAAACAGTTCTAAACAAAAATTTTGGTGGATTTTGATACGAGAGGACAGCAGGGGATGTACTTTTTTTCTGAAGGAAGTGTTACTATGCATTATTGGCTCTTGTTTTGTCCAGAAGTATTGGCTTATAGTTAAACGCCTTGTTGATGGATTTGTTTCTTTAAAAAATCATTTTGGGGTGAAGTATTTCTTTAAAAATGTCTTCATTTTACCTCCATAAAACCTGCAGAAACTCTTTTGCATGCCAAAATGTAGCTCGGAATGGGGATTTTGGACGTGTTCCCCTAACGGTCTATGTAGGATTCTAGTCTAAACTTTATGGAAATACACATGGCTTTTCTGTTGTCCTGGGTCATTATTGTTACTGTAGTTGGCTTTGTGATTTTGAGCATAATGCAGTAATTCCCCGCAGGCAAAGGAACAATCACGCTGGCTCTTCTCCCGCTATCCGTCACTGTCCAGAGGTGTGGGTATGCAGAGGTCTGGCAGCTGTTACTAGGGTTTTAAGATTTTACTAGTGTTAAATCTGTGATCAGGCATAAGGCTGGGAAAGAGCCTGCTGCTCTGGATGGATAACGCTGCTGGGATTTGACTTATTTGGATCAGGTGCTGAATATGGCAAATGCCATGTGGGATTTTTTTGGTTTGTTTTACTGCAATGAAGTCGGATTGTTAAAAGGGATAGTT